GTTCACTCTCTTTACCATTTCCCATCCTTGAGGGTAGTTCAGGCTTTATCATTTTCCTGCAATTCTCACATGTGGCCACCAGATGGCAGTGGAGCTCGCAGTATTGCACCTTGACAAGCACCTAACCCTCCACGGAGAACTGGGGCAGCTTTTCCCCAGATTGATTCCCACACTTTACTTGCCGTCATGCAACCAGATAAACCCAAACAAGTTTTCTGCCAGCACCAAAGATTGTCTTCCTAACTTTTGTGCCTGTTTTAAGGTTGGTGTTTTCTTGTTTATTTTGCTTTTTTTTCCTTTTTTCTTCTGGGAGTGGTATAAGCATGCTTTCGGGGCCTGGTTTGTGTTTTTTTCTTCTTTTTTTTTCTTTCTAATATATATTTTTATTGATTTCAGAGAGGAAGGGAGAGGGAGAGATAGATAGAAACATCAATGATGAGAGAGAATCATCCATCGGCTGCCTTCTGCATGCCCCACACTTTGTGGGGATCGAGCCCACAACCCGAGCATGTGCCCTTGACTGGAATTGAACCTGGGACCCTTTAGTCCGCAGGCTGACGCTCTATCCACTGAGCCAAACCAGCTAGGGCTCAGAGCAGATTTTACCCATAGCAAGGCCACTGATAGGCTTGTCACACAACAGCCTTTTTCTAAACATTGATTCTAAGTACCAGGCTGGGCTGGACTGGGCAGTACACAGGTGGGTAGCCCAGCGCAGGACCACCTCCACCCCCAGCCTGCTTTGCCTGCTGCAAGGTATGGGTCACCTTATTATTAAAAGTAACATACCAGGAGGAGGGTGGGGTCTCTGAATGGCAGAGTTGAAGTGTCAAGCTCTCTGACCTCTCTCTCTGAAAGGCAGTTGCTGTCTGTATGGCATTGCGGGCTTTGTTTTACTTCTTTTTCTCAAAGCTCTCCTGGATCAACATGGTTTAGATCATTGGATTTCCCAGCAGGAAGGGAGAGGAGAGAGGAACAAAGCCCCAACCCTTGTTTGCCTTTGTAAGAGGTCTTGAGACCTGTTGTCTCTTAGTTAGGCTGTGCCCAAGGACTGGGATTTACCTGGGAAGTGTGATATGGAAAAGGATCTTCTTTGTTTTCCTCTTCCAGCCTCTAAATTCTGGGCTTGGCAGCTATTGCCACAAATCTCTGGGCTTGAGGTTTCCTCAGGAGCCCGAGGGTGACTTAGTACCAGAGCTATTGGTAGTACTACCCTCTCTTCTCTGTTGTGAAATAAGTGATTTAGGACGTTTAATACCCATGTGGGCTATATGTTTATTTCAAGGAAAAGTGCAAATTAAGGTAGAATGCAATTGTGTTTATAGTACAGAAAAAAATTGAACTGAAACGTGTTGGTATTCTGTATTAGATCCCAGAGACAGGAAGCTTTTGAAGGGTGAGTGTGTGTCTGAGTATCTTTCACTCATGGCTACATCCCTAGTGGGTCTCCCGCTGCCTGTATTCCATTTCTCTTTTTGTGCCCTCTGTGCCTTGGATGTGGCCAAACCCCACAGCACTATCCAGACTTGGCTGAGATGGAGCTGGACTACACTTCCCTCCGAGGGTCTCCAGCTGCCTGGCTTTGAGTCAATTCACTTGGAGGTCTTTGGGCACTGCGACTTCCCAGCATCTAAACATCTGTTTCATTAAAAGGGGCAGGGGTGGGGGGCAGTATACTTCCCCCATGAATCTGATGCAGCCCGGTTAAGTGATCCTGGTCAACATTCTAGTGAGAGGAGGTACTTGTTCTGAAACTAGTGTGGTTTGCTGGTGCAAAGAATCACATTGTGGTCCAGATTCATGGGGTAGGGTACAGATGATGGCATGCTGGGCGGGGAAGCTGGGTCTACCTTGAGACACACCAGGACAAGTGCTGTCTCTCTCCCCGCCCCCCATTTCCACAGCAGCCAAAACCTGTGCGGAAGAAACAGGGACATCCTTATGGCAAGAGTAATGCTGCCTGGCAGCTGGCAGGGGAGTCTGGGCCAACAGACAGGTAGCATGAAGTATCTCCTATTTGGTAAAATGTTACTTCCTAGTAGCACTGGGTGCTGGGCCCTGGGTGCTGCTCTCCCCCTTTCATGGAGTCCTGATGCCCTGACACCTTGTCGGACACACTTCTCTCACCTGCCCCCTGCTTCTTGGAAGGAGGCCTAAATCTTCCAGATGTTTGTGTAAATCACTCAGGGACCTGGGCGGAGAGGATCTTTCTCATGCCACCGGGGTCTCTGCTCTGGTGTGAAGCCACCTTTCCCTGGCAGCCTGGGTGGTGGTTTCTGTTTACTCCTGTTTTCTCCATATCCCTTAGACCTGCTTCAGGATAGTCCAGGCCTTCCTGGAAAAGGAGCTGCCTCAGGGGAGGCCACACTGAGAGGCCTGGAGGGGAGGTGACAGCACCACAGTTGTGTGGGATGCCTGCCTGCCCTGCTGCCCAGGGGGAGGGGAAAGGAGCTGTGTTTTCAGAGACATGAGGGCTTCTAGAGCTGGCTCTGTCAAGTGTGCTCCAGTTTGAAACAACAGTCTTGGAGCTCAATCCCATGGCCCTCCTGGGCCACACTGCTCTCTGGGGGATCAATTCACACTTAGGGAAGGCCCCTTCCATCCTATGAGATACCATGTTGACTGACTTATGGCAGGCTTAAAGCAGATCCCAATTTCCTGCTGGGAAGCCAGCTTTTTCCTTCCACTTGTGCCCTCTGTCCTGGGCCATCACTGGATTTGTGATAATGAAGTCCTCAAGGTAGGATGGAACCTGCCAGTTAATTAGTGAGGCAGCAGATGCTGGATCACCAGGTGCTCAGGCAGGGCTGCTGCCCCCCTGAGCTCCATGACCTCACAGTCCCATCAGATTCCTGGATCTTAGAATTGGAAGGTTTCAGAGTCTCCTGGGGTGTGATCTCAAGTTCAGTAGTCCCATGGCTTCTGCTCAGGTGCTGACACCTAACAGAGCTGGCACCCTCCTGGAGCTTATCCTCAGCACCTCCACATCCACTATCTTGTGACTTTATTAACTAGCCTGGCATGCTCTGGAGACACCTTAGCCGGTGGCATGGGTCTGCTCAGTTATGTGCCCCAGAGGTGATCTGATGAGTGGGGAGGCACATCTAGCCGTATGCCTGCTGCAGCAGGGCTTGACCTCTTCACTGGCTGAGGGCTCTACTGGGGTATACTTTCACCGCTGGGCCTTTGCTCATGCTGTTTTCTCTGCCTGATAACTCTCTAAAATTGTGGGCCCCACACCCTCCCTGCAGGAATGTGAACTGGAGGTAGACAGAGCCTCCTGCGCTGGTCACTGTTGTGTTCTGGTGTCCAGTTCCAGTATTCAGAAGGCTCCCTTGGGATGTGCTGAGTGAGCGCCAATCTAACAAGAACCTTATTAAAGCTCTCTTTCTGTGGGTCCTGGTCTCAGCCCACCATTTACCAAGGGTCCTCAGTGGTTGGCTGCTTCCTGCAACCTATGTCCCTGGTCCTTACCTAGACTGTGCCAGGCTATGTCAGGAGCACCTTTCTCCTCAACATGAGATTTGAGAGAGGAGTGTTGGAATTGGTGTCAGGGAGCCCTAGCCAGCATGTTGCCGTAGTGGCAGGGAAAGGGTTACCATCGGTCTAGCTCTCTGACCTTCCCGCTCACTTCCTGTTGAGTTGACCCCAGCAGCCAGTGAAGCTATAGTGACACTGGGCCACAGCCTGATGGGGACCCAGCAGCCCTGACGGGCATGGCTTTCCCCCATCCCCACCTCCCTACCCCTCAGGATGTATTCGAGATGCGCTTTGCCAAGATGCCAGATGAGCCTGAGGAGCCTATGGTGGCTGTGTCGTCCCCTGTGGTGCCACCCCCCACCAAGGTTGTGGTCCCACCCTCATCCAGTGACAGCAGCAGCGATAGTTCCTCCGACAGCGACAGCTCAACTGATGACTCTGAGGAGGAGCGAGCCCAGCGGCTGGCCGAGCTTCAGGAGCAGGTGAGGCATGACTACTTCCATCCCTGGTCCCCCCGGAATCCATGGATCAAGCATTCTCCCCAGAGGTCTCCACGAGATGATCATGGCTCTGAGTCCTGGCAAGAGCAGAATTCCCAGTGGTGGCATTGTGCTAGATCACGGGCATATTGAACGTATGCATATGTATGTCACACATGGAAATGGGGAGATATGGCTGCTCTTTGGGCAGAAGGGAGGCTTCTGGATCCTTCCAGTGTGTAGAAGGAGGCCACGTCAGGGGCTGCATGGTTGTTCTGCAAGCTAGCCATCGAGCCTTTAGTGCCCAGTGTGTCTGCACTCCTGCCCAGTCTCCTAGGCCCAGAATGGCCAAAGGGCTTGAACAGCTTATCATTTTAGGTGGTGGTTCTGGGCACCTTTGGAGTCCAGGGCCTGGGTGGGCATGGACACTTTAGAAATCTGATGGAGTGGCAGGTCAGGCAGCTATGTACCAGCCCCAGTGTGATTGGCATGTGTCTTGCCTGTATATTCCATAGCTCAAAGCCGTGCACGAGCAGCTTGCAGCCCTCTCGCAGCCCCAGCAGAACAAACCAAAGAAAAAGGAGAAAGACAAGAAGGAAAAGAAAAAAGAAAAGCACAAAAAGAAAGAGGAAATGGAGGAGAATAAGAAAAGCAAAGCCAAGGAACTTCCTCCCAAAAAGACCAAGAAAAACAACAGTAGCAACAGTAACACAAGGTCTGTACCACCCTAATGCCCCCATGGGGACCTAGCCTGCCCCGGTCAGAGGCTGATCACCTCTGCTCTTTTCCCAGGGACAAGGCTTTAGCGTTCTCCAGGTTTGGGGGGGAGAGGAGGGATGACAGGTGGAATGGTGCAGACGGCAAGGACACCACAGCAGCTCCCCTGTTAACAGTGAAGACCAGCAGGGTGGGGGAATAGAAAGGACCCATTCCAATGAAGGAGTGGAACGGGTCCCCGGCTTCCCAGGGTACCCATTGTGTCTGCATTGTCCCTTCATAGCAAGAAGGAACCGGTGCCCATGAAGAACAAGCCTCCTCCAGCATACGAGTCAGAGGAGGAGGACAAGTGCAAGCCCATGTCATATGAGGAGAAGCGCCAGCTCAGCCTGGACATCAACAAGCTCCCTGGTGAGAAGCTGGGCCGAGTGGTACACATCATCCAGTCGAGGGAGCCCTCACTCAAGAACTCCAACCCCGACGAGATTGAGATCGACTTCGAGACCCTAAAGCCATCCACCCTGCGGGAACTGGAGCGCTACGTCACCTCCTGTTTGCGGAAGAAACGGAAACCTCAAGGTGCCCTTGGGTTCCCCTGGGGCTTGGGGGTGGAGGGAGGTCCCAGGCAGAAGAAGGTTGGCCAAGCTGCTTTTTCCTGCCCTTCCATCAGGGAGGCCCCTGTGGGCACCTCAGGTGACTCTCTTCCAGACTTGGCTTTTTCCTTGACATAGACACCTCTGGAGGATTGTGACATGACACTCAACCCTGGGCTGTCACTGTCAGTGCCTTTCTTGACCTCTCTGGTTGATGGTCACCTGGGGCCCACCTTCACCTTGGTATTCTAAGCCTTGCTCTGAGCAGCAGTTGTTTTCATCTTCATCCTCTGAAGTCTTTCCCCCCAAAGCCACACACATAGCATCCCCTCACCCCACCCTTTTGGTGCCTCTGAGGGTTGAGGCTGGGAGAGTCTTTAGGGCAGCTTTGTGCCTGCCTGCCATTCTTCTCGAGCTCAGCATGGCCCCCTCTCTATGAGTCCTCCAGGCAGCCCTTTCCTGTTACAAGTGTCTTGTCTTGGCTCAGCTTTTGTCTTAAGATCAGTAGGACTTAGGATCCATAGCAGGGCATTGTATGCAGCCTTCATCCCAGCCCAGGCTGACTCCAGGGATCCTTGGGCCTCTTCACTCACAGCCAAGAAAATTACTGAGGGAGCCTTAGCCTGACATCCTCCTCATAGGGAATTTCCTCCTCCTTGTTTCTTAATCCTGATGAACGCTGCAAAGGCGATTCTGAGAGATTGGACAGGGGCGGGGCAAGCTTCTTGAAATTCTGGTATAAACTGAGTTTTTGGCCAGCAGGCAGTAGGCTAGCATCTTATCACTGGGGAACAGGGGGCTGGTTGGGGGCTGGGATGCTGTCAGGGGCAGCCTTCTGGCTTGTGGGGCACAGACTGCCCCCTGGCCCTTCCTCCAAGCAGGGGAGTACATTTGGGTTAAGAGCAGCCCCAGGGTTAGGCCTTGCCTGACACAGTTCATATTGTTTTACTGCAGCGGAGAAAGTGGATGTGATTGCTGGCTCCTCCAAGATGAAGGGCTTCTCGTCCTCTGAGTCTGAGAGCACCAGCGAGTCCAGCTCCTCTGACAGTGAAGACTCCGAAACAGGTTAGGGTCCTACTCAGCATCTTGTCCCACTCCTGCCTGTGTTCAGCACCATTTGTCCCATGTGATGGTCATAAGAATTACCTGGTCACTGTTTTAACTCTAACTGGGGTGGTGAGTAGCCTGGCACCCTGTTTTCTCCCTCATGGACTGGGCTAGGAGGACACAAGTGACTGAAGGTATTGACACTGCAGAACTGGGGTGGGGGAAAGCTGGTGAGGATATTGGGTGTTGGGGCCCAGGTGTTGGCATTGATCCTAGTGTGACCCTACACAGCTCCACAGTCTTCCTGCATCACAGTCACATGCAGTGTGGCCATCCAGGTAATGTGCTTCATTCAGCAGGTGGGGAGCAGTCTACTGTCAGCCCTGCTGTCCCCAGACTCGGGGCACTGCCATCCTCCTCAGAGGGTGCTCACTGCCATGTTGGTGGTTCCTAACTGCACACACTTGGACATGGGAGTCCAGTGCCTCTCACAGTCCTTCTCTTTATGCTCCACGGGCCTGCACATGTGCCCAACCTGAGCAACAGTTTCAGCGTGGGAGGTGGGGCCGGTGGGAATGGTGGGGAGAGAGGGCTTCTACCAGTCGTGTGCTTTCCTGATGATACTCAGGGGAGCAGAAGCTCAGACTTACCCAGAGAGGCTAAGGAAGAAGCCTGGCAACCACCCTGTGCTGTGGGATGGAGCCAGCTCTTCCCATGGGGTGGCTGCTGCTGAGCAGACAATCTACAGACTGCCTGAGAGCTGGTCCTGGGGGCCTCAGCATGTCCCACCAGGCAAGCCGCAGTGTGCATGTCCACAGTGGGGAACGTGTGTTTGGACAAAAAAGCATTTTCTTTGGTGGATCTGTCCTGTCTGGTATTTTATTCTAACTGGAAATAAACCATAAGCTCCACTTAATCAGTTCATATAAATAATGTGACCTTATTTTACCAAGGAGGTTTGAGGATCATTTACAGAACCTGGGAAGAGTGATGCTGCTCTGAGGCGCTGCATGCACAGGTTCCTTGCGTGGGCTCAGCCTGTTTCTGTCAGGGGAAGCTAGGGACCAGGGGCCTCTGGGCCTTGTCACTGTCCTTCCCTATTACAGTAAGGGCACCAGACTTTCCAAGTGAGTGTGGACTCACCTGTGGGGAAATTAAGAGGGTGCTGAGGGCTTTCCTGAGGCTCCAAATGCTGAATTACCTCATGTTCATTGGGCCCAAATGAGATGGAATTCATTAGGCCATGTTCTGTATTTATTGAGGAATTACTGTATTCAGAGGCTAATGTGTACAGTTTGCTGGACACCTTTGTCACCATCCTTTATTTTTTTTCTAACCATCACCACCCCCCCATTCCATTTTTATCCATTTACCCCAGCAGGGGGCGCCCAGAGCCCATGCCTGCCCAGGAAGGGCTGCCTGGCCAGGCCGCTGCCCTCTGCAGGGTGAATTGCTGTTTTCCTGGGCCCAATTAGCATTCCTGGTAGCAGCTGACTTCTCACTTTGGGTGCCAGTCACACCTAGGGTTTGCCTTCACTATGGGGTTCCTAGCAGGCTGCTCCTTTTAGGGGTTTCTCATCCTTTCTCCTAAGGATTCAAGTAGTCAAAAGAAAACACTAAAGGCTGAAATTGGCTTGGGGCCTGGTCATTAAACCAGCACATCTTGGCTGAGTGTGAACTGCTTTGGCTGATGTGGCACCTTAGGGGACTATGACTGGCCTTTGCCCCTGCCCCCCAAGCTTAGCAGGACCGCTCCAAGGCTCCCGAGTGTCCTGCTGCCATCTTTGTGGGGCAACCATGACGGCATTTCCAATAGCTCTCTCCTGTTGCCAACATGTTTTTCTTTCTTTTTTTTTTTTTTCACATTTTTCCCTCCCTTAAAGAAAGCGGGAAGATTGTGCAACAAGTAATCTGAGGATCCTGGGAACAGCTGTCTTGGCGGGAAGGAGGATGGGATTTCAGTCTCCGAGCTGCCAGCCTGCGGGCACCCGGGCCTGGCTAACCAGCCTGACTCCCACTCACCCCTCTCCCCACGCACCCTCCCACCTTGGGTTTGTGAGTCTTCATTTTGCCTTCATGGTCCTGGCTTTCCTTTCCCATAAGTTTGTACTGGAGAGCTCTGTTGTGGGCCAGGAGGGGCTTCTGCTCTCAGGAAGGACCCATCCTGTGGGTTTGTGTTCCTGTGGCTCCGATGCTCCAGGTCCCAAGGTGGGAGCCTGTGACCCTGTACCACTGAATACAACCACTGCCCCCACCCCTCACAGGAAACTATACTCACTTCCCAGGCAGCTCTTCCAGCAGTTGCTCATGATGGGTCCATGGAGCTGGACAGCCCTGGTTTCTGCAACCAGTTACAGGTGGTTCTGCCGGGGCAAGCATATTAGAGGTATTTTACTTGGCCTTTGGGAGCTTAAATTGTTTTTCCCTCCTTTTGTTTCCGTTTATATTGGAGCTGAAATTCCTGAAAAGGCCTATATTTTGTCACTTGTATTAATAAGTAAGAGTCAGTTCTGCTGATACAGCCCCGAGACATGAGTCACCAAAAGAAACTGAGCAGAGGCACTAACTCGGGGACCCCTCCTCTGGCTGCTGTTCACAGACAAGGATGCTGAGGACAGATCAGGGCATGGGACTGGTCCTCAGGGTCATGTTGCAGTTCAAGGAGGCGGTGTGTCACAGAAGAGGGGGAGGAGGGCAGGCATAGCTTTCCCCAGCCCAGTCCCATGCTGCCACATGTCCTTCCGCTCAGCAACACACAGTGCCTTTAGGCTCTTCCACCACATCTGAGCCCAGCTCTACTTAGGTTATGGTCTTTCGTTAAAAACAATTCTAGCTTAACGTCTGGATCTGCTTGGGAGTTCGGTATTGGGAGGACAGAGTGAGTACAAGTGCTAGCATCCCACTGCCCCTAAGGCATCTGTAGACCTTATCTGGGCAGGCTAAGGGTGCCCCGGTTCCCCCTTTCCACTGCTGTCCCAGGTGGCTATAGCAGAGCTGTGGCTTCCCTGTCACCAGTGCTAGGATCCTGTCTACCACGCTCATGGGGCCAGGGATGTTCTAGGATTCTTCATCCTGTTTCCCTCCATCATATTGCTGACGTCTGGTTCTTTTTGGGTGGGGGTAGACACACAACTTGGGTCCCTCTTAGGAGCAACCCTTGGCATCAGCTACCAGGGCTGGGACCTGGGTTCAGAGTTGTGGGGTATTTCTTTTGGGCTTGGCCTGGTCTTCTAGTTGCAGCTGGAGCACACTCCAGCTATTTTAGTCTCCTCGTTTCCTTTTCCCAGGATTGAAGCATGTGGGTGTTTTTTAATAGCTCCAGGGGGAAAGGAATGCTTTATGTTTTGGAAAGATTTGAGCTGGAAAGTACAGGCAGAGGCCATGGGGCATTCTTCCCAGACAACCAGCCTCAGCTTCTGACACACGGAGTCTCTGAGGGACTTGGTCCCAGTCCGTTCTTGGGATCTGCTGTTGCCCGCTCCAAGGGTGTGCTGCTTGCTCTCAGGGAAGTGGAGAGGCCCCTGGTGGGGATGGGGGAGTAGGCAGAGACCTGGAGGACTGGGCTGAAGCCAGTCTGCCCACACTGCCAGGTGACCCCTCACACACCCACACGCAGCTGGCGGGATTGTGGGGTGGGGCCAGCCTTGTGGAATGTGCCCTGAGCGAGAGGCTGAGCCAGTGGGCGGGTTTTTCCCATGCGTTCACTGGGAGGCCATGGGAATACAGTCAGTGTCCATGCATCCGGGACTCTGGCAGAGACATCTACTCTGCTGTGTGGGTGGGAATGACCCTGTGCTTCTGCCTGGTCAAGGGAGCTAAATTCCATGCCCCAGAAAAAGAAAGGACGATTTTCCTCCTTGGCCTGTTTTTATTTATTCTACACCCTGCCCCCCCTTAACAGTGTCCGTAACTGATTTCTCTTTTTATAGTTTATTTTTTGTTTCTTGGGGTTCGTAGGAATGCAGAAATGAGATGTTAGTTGTAGATGCTACACCCGAGAGCCCGTGTCTTTTCTTCCCTCTACCCAAGTCCTGTGGTGGGGCCAGATCACCTTCCTGAGATGGACAGCAAAGCAGCCCAGGGGGAGAGGCTCAGAGTTAGCGGGGCCTGATGGCATCGAATACCAGGCTGGTAGATCAGGCAAGTGGGATAGGCAGAGGCCTCTCACGTTAAAAGACTGGTAAAGTAGATGCTATCGTTCACTCAGGTGTACATGGGACCCAATCCTGGAAGCAGTTTTAGCATAAACGGGCGTGGGTGGTTTTGGAGACGTCCATGACCCTTGTAATGGAAAGTGGGTCTGTCCCTGCTCTCAGCTGGCCAGGCTGGGGCAGGGCTTCTAGTCTCCGGCGCCGTTCTCTGGTGTCCTGTCAGCGAGCAGGGCACAGGAGGCTGGCTCGGTCTGCAGTTCTTCTGTTCTTGTGACTTGGAACGGTACATTCCACACCATTTCTCTCACACTGGTTTCTCTCTCCCTCTATGTAGGTCCTGCCTAATCATTGGACACGGACTCTTAATAAAACGGTCTTCAGTTCCAGATTCCTTCCCAGCAAGCTCTAGCTTAAGTCCATTTTCTTCTGTGAAAGGGACAGGACTCCATCAAGTTATGGAATTCCTCAGAGCCCTGGGCCTGTCCCCAGGGTGCATTAGTCATGTCCATCAGAGCAGCACACGCCTAGTCCCGCCTCCGGGAAGGCTGCCTTGCCTGGCTGGCCGCCCGGGCCTCCTGTGTACAGACTGCCCGGCTGTCCCGCCCAGCCTCCTTGGTCGTCTGGGCTCCTCTGGGTGGGTGGCATCTCCCAGAGTGATGACAATCTCGCTGCACACGCTTGCGTGTGGTGCTGCTCCATGTGCAAGGCCCCATCACAAGTATGTTTTCTCTCTCTTCATCCCTCTGTCTCTTTCTGGGACTCTGGATCCTAACCCTCCTGGACCTGGCAGTGACATGTAGCCCAGAGGAGATCTCATTCACCCTGTGGAAGAAAGAACACACTAACATCTAGAGCTTTTCCAAGTGA